CATGAAACATGTAGAGGTAACATGTATATTTAAAAACAAATACAGAGTGTCCCGTTCTCGCCAGTCTGTTGCATTGTTACTTTTGCAGTCATCGGCTGAAATGTTTTAATTGGAGTTTTTGGGTAAGTGCTTCAAAAACATCAAGTTTTGTGATTTGGAACAGTATAAATAAAATAAACTCCACTCAAGGTAAAAGCTGAGATATAAATAAATCATTTAATCGCTTGAAGAATAATATGAAAAGGATTAATTTTGACCGAAAAGCCAATTTTTTTTTTTTTTGTCTGAATCAAGTTCAGACTCAGAGTGAAGAAAGAATTTTCCTTTTTATTTAGCAAATGTAAACTTTATGTTTTTTGATTATATATCAAATTTAGATAAAATGATTCAGGATCATGAATAAGCTACGGTAAAGATTGTTTTTATGCCCATGATGTGCTTCTTAGGTCAGCTCATGCCTAGGATTCTCTACATGGTGCAATGATAAAAGGTCAAACACAGGCAATCTAACTGTAAATGTCAGAGTAGCTGTAATATGACATTTCGCAGGCTGCTGACCTCTGGATCTCCTAAATCCTCTGTAGCTTGTTATCTCTGACTGTCAGCTCTGTGGTGTTACTGGAGCTTACACAGTGAAAAGCTCAGCTAACAGCTGAGAAGCACAGTGGTGAATGTGGACCAAAACAATCCAGCGGTAGACCACATCAACAAAACCACTTCCTGAGAGATGGTTAAAAAAATATCTGTAGTTCAAGTTATTCCATGTTGGTTTACCAGTTTCAACACATTCTACATTGTAATGCATAAACGGTATAGGCAAAGTTTTGTAAATGTGCATCTTTTGATGTTTTTATTTTATTACATGGTAATTTGACTACTCAATGTCAAACTTTGTGGTATGTCAGCTGGAACAAAGCGCAGACAGGGTCTTGGTAGGTGGATGAAAATAGAGGGATCTGAATGAAAATAAACAACAAACAGCAACAACCATAAACTTGGAAAACAAGACATGGAGCTCAGGTCGAAAAAAAGGATTGATAAATGAGAAATAAACGCATTTTGAAGAACAGTGAACAAAAAATTGAGGTGGAGAACAGATGGATCTTA